GCATCTTTTATGTGCCATGCCCCTTCATGACATAAGTGATCATGGCACCCCACATCTTCCTATCCCTTACAGCCCTTAATAAGTTTTGTCTTTTTGTTATTTCTCCCAAACCCTGTTCTACCATCCATTTACTCAAGCTAATCAAGTATTTTATGCCCTGCTTTCCTCTTTCCCTTAATCTGTCATGTGATTATCATATTTTCCAAGCCCTCCTTCCTCAGTGCCCCAGAAATTTCGACTGCCTCTTCCTGATGTTAAATATAAAATTTCCTTTTGGTTTCCATTTTCTCTAAAAGCTCCTCCTTGCTCACATGTTCAGTCCATGGTATTCTTATTATCTTTCTGTAGAACCACATTTTTGTTGTTTCAAGTCTCTTCATTATCTTTGAGGAGATTGTCCAGCATTAACTACCATATAGGAGGACAGATATCACATAACAGTTCAATACTCTTTTCTCTGTTTCTAACGATATCTTTCTGTCTCTTAATACTCTGCTTAGTTTTTGGAATGCATCTTTGGCCATCCCAACACGTCTTCAGATCTCAGTGTCACACTTTCTGTCCTCTGTTAGAACACTTCCCAGATATTAAAATTTTTGAATTTTAGTATCCCTGATTCGTGATTTGCAGTTTGGGTTAATCTTTTTGCTAATAACCAAAATAATTAGACCGTTACCAATTTGACCATAGGAGATCAACTTGATAAAGTACAGTACCCATTTAAAGAAGACGCATCTCTTCCTGGGACTTCTGCAAATCTATATCTGCTAACTTCAGTTTTATACTAAAACCTGTAAACAAAAGTAATTTTTAAATAGATTACTATCTTATTACTATAAAGTTAAAAAAAAATATTTTATTGTAAAAAAAAAAAAAAAAAAATAATAATGACAGATTAAAAAATCTATTCAAAAGATTTCTGTTGTTTATGGTCTTGGGTAAAAAAATTAAGCTAAATGTTTCAGTGTGTGGAGGCTGAGTCAGGATGGCAAGTAATTGGTCAGAATAACTCGTAGGCATGGAATTCTGACAGTGATAGATTGCCTTTGTCTAAGTTTTAGCTATAAGACAGGTACAAGAATTTTAAAGTATAGACACTTTCTGCACCCAGAATCTATAGAGAGGCAAGCCCACACATGGCGAAATGCTAAGTCAAGAAATAGGCATGAGTTCCACTGAAGATCTTCCTCCCATTAACTCACAGAATCGAGGCTAACAAGTCTGTCTCTCTTATTGTTGTAGAGTAGTTTTCACAGTGGAGACTTGTACTTCACTAAGTCAGTCCTAAAAGGGTTCGACATACAAAACGTTAGGAACTTGAAAAAATATTTAATGACGCAGCAATCTAGTTGTGGGGCTCATACTTTAATGTCCGACATCGACTGACTCACACAACTGACTGAGCTCCCTGGCAACTGCTACTACTACTTATTATCTGTGGGAGAATCTATTTATCATAGAATAGGTATGATCTAGTATAACAAGTATAATAAGACGAACAAGAAAAAGAAACCATCTTTCAATGATTCAGTCTATAAGGTGGTTGGGTTCTGCTGGACTGAAGCTAGGGTGACAGGGAATGCAACACAGATATAGATTCAAAGATGTCTCAACAAATGATGTGCATTCCTTAAATAGGTATTTTGAAACTTGCTTTATTACATTTATCTTATATATATATATATATATATATATATATATATATATATATATATATATATATAATTGTATAAACAGAAAAATATTTTTTTCTATTTATACAATATTTGTATAGATACAAATATTTAAGTAAATGTTGTTTATAATAAATAGTATTACCTACATTTACCAGCCTGAATGTCTGAATGTCCAAGAAATTTCATTGAAAATGTGTGTCCTTCAACAGGAATTGAACCTGTATCCTACACAGAACCATCATTTGGTCTGACATACTATACCATTTAGCTACAGAGAAAACATCTGGTTAGCAAAGTCAAATTACTGTTTTTAAACAACAAATTTACCATGATTATTCTCAAACAATCATATCTGCTCGAAGTGTATCTTAATGTAAACAAATGACAACATACATTATGAAATGAACCAAGTCCAACAATTATTTTAATATATTTTCTGTTTATATGTAATTTTTATAGATACAAATATTTAAGTAAATGCTCTGTTTATAATAAACAGTATTAACAACATTTAGCGGCCTGAATGTCTGAGAAATCGCAAAGAAAATATGTGTCCTCCGACAGGAATCATACCTGTATCCTACATTTTGACATGGTGTAATAGCAAGCTTGTCTTGCTAGATAAATTATGACTTGACTGAGTAGCAAGTTCAATCCTCACTGGGTACCCCACACTGTCAACCTTATGCCACAATTAAACTACGCATATATATCAAAAACAAAACTAGTTTTAACATTGTTGGCTTTTTATTGGAAAATATTCAAATGATTTACCTTGCTTCCTCACGGACTTTCTGTAGAAGGATTTCATCTTCTGATGGAAGCTGCAGGGAAAATAATATAGAAAATAGAATAAAGCATGAAGATAATGTTTATACACACATACATGAAAACTGATATCTAAATGGGTATATCTGAAAGACAATATTGATAAAAATGAAAATCTATTTTTGTAACATGATTCATTCCTTCAGAAACTTCCAAAGGCAAATGCAAAGAAATAAATGTATTTGAATACACTAAAAAAAAAGATAATAGATAAAATTCAAATTTAAATACAAGAAGATTTTAAAATAACAATTGACATCGCATTTAAACTTTCAAAGTTGACTGGAAAGCAGGAAGCTGGGAGAGATTTCCACAAATGAGAAGTGCAAGAAAAGAAAATGTTAGCATAGTACTTAGTTACTTCTAGCCATTTCAACTGTAAAAAGATGAGACCAAACTGCCAATCTAGTTCTATGCTTAAATTCATAAAGTCAAAGCACCAAATGGAAAGGTCATCAGAACAATTACAATGAAAATCTTTACAAAAAATGCACAGGGAAAGCTGTTTCTCTGTTAGTCATTCCCGTGATTTTTCCGCATCAGTCATTCCCGTGATTTTTCCGCATCAGTCATTCCCGTGATTTTTCCGCATCAGTCATTCCCGTGATTTTTCCGCATCAGTCATTCCCGTGATTTTTCCGCATCAGTCATTCCCGTGATTTTTCCGCATCATTTTTTTTTTCGCATCAGTCATTCCCGTGATTTTTCCGCATCAGTCATTCCCGTGATCAGTCATTCCTGATTTTTTCCGCATCAGTCATTCATTCCGCTCAGTCATTTTTGATTTTCATCAGTCATTCCGTGATTTTTTCGGCATCAGTCATTCCCGTGATTTTTCGGCATCAGTCATTCCCGTGATTTTTCGGCATCAGTCATTCCCGTGATTTTTCGGCATCAGTCATTCCCGTGATAGTTTTAGACATAGTTGTAATTAGTTTAATACTATATTTGGGTATTGTAGTTGAAGAAGAGAAAAAAAAAAAAAAAAAAAAGCAGGAAGAAAGAATCTTTTTTATTAATCTGGAGAAAAGAATAGTGAACAATGTCAGATTAAATAATTTCCACTAACAGAATGAGGCATTATGAATTATGGGCAAGCAAGCAGTATAGAAAGCTTTGGGACAACATATTTTGGACAGCTTATAAAACAGATAAGAGGCAAGTGAGAGAGGAGGAGAAAATTATGACTAGTCAGACAATTTGACAAATTCAGTAAAAGGGGCTGTTATAATGATAGGAGAATAATTCCTTCAAATTATAATGGTGTGCTGGTAAGAAGTATCAACTGATTCAATAGTGTTGGAAAAAAAAAATAATTATATATGCTGCTGGCCAAAATCTAAAGACCAATTAAAATAAAAAAAAAATATACGTTTTGCATTTTTAGACTCAATCATTTATTTGAGTAGAACTTCAAAAACTGAAAATAAAAAAAGGAAAAATTAAAATTAAAAACTTTAGCATATAATAAGGAAATTTTGAATATTGGTAAATGTTGAGATGTTGTGAGTTTCCCGCGTGTCGGTGTATGAATCAAGACAAACACAGTTGTAGAGGAAAATACTGGTATATTCATAAAAGCAATTAACAATAGAGTGATTAGTAGAACGATGGTTGGTTAGTACGAAACAATATCCAAAGTCTATAGTCCAACGGTATGTACCGGGTAAGCTTATCTGGACTGCTCACGCTGACTCTCTCTCTGACGCTCTGTCACTCTCTCTCCAGAGCTGACTTATATAAGAGGGACCAGTCCATTAATAGTTAGAAGGTGGGTGCGCCCCAACAGTAAATTAGGCTAAATACTAGCTGGTCAAAAGAATCATACTTAAACAGAGTAGGAAATGTCCGACAAGATGTCTTGGTAGTGAGTTGCATGGCTGTTATTGCAAATAACTTAAAAAATTCACTTTGGCATGGTGAATATAAGCACCTCCAGATAATGATGGAACCTCCTCCACTGTGTAGTGTAGAAAATGTCTCCACTAGGATATCTTTATGGTATTAGTAACTTTGGAAGCCATCTGGACCATCCAGGTTAAATTTTTATCATCAGAGAACAAAACCTTCTTCCATGACCCATGTTTGGACCTTCTCAGAAAAGTTTAACCGAGCAGTTTTGTGATATGGAAAGAGGCATGGACTTTGAAGACACGGTTTTAAAGCCTTTCTCTTGCAGATGCCATCTTGAACTGCATTTGGCAGTCCATAAACGGCTTAAATTTGGTTTTGATGACCAGCTGAACAACCCATCAAATCCTCCTGCTCGACACCAATAAACTTTCCTTGAGCCAACCACTTGAAATTCTGGTTCCATATCCCTCAGGGTCTTTTAAGAAATTTGTAGCAGCAGTTTTACTATGTCCAATCTTACCAGTGATGATACGTTGAGAGAGACAATTCTGCCACATTCAAGCTATCAACTTTTTAGACTTTGCCAAATTTTTGCCTAACATAACACAAGAGATACCAGTGGAAGACACTGAATGTGCTAATGCTGGAAGAAAAATCACTAAATTTTGTTACGTGTTTACCAAATAAAGCTTTATTTAAATATGGCCTTAAACCTTTGATCAGATAGTATTTAGCATAATTTCCCAGTATTCAAATTTTTGCCTATTAAATGCTAAAAAAAAGTTTGTTATTTTTCCTTTTTTTTATTTTTATTTTTCAGTGTTCTACTTGAATAAGAGGTTGAATCTAACAATGCAAAAGGTATATTTTTTTCTTTATTTTCATAGGCCTTAAGATTTTTTGCATTAGCATTATATATATATATATATATATATATATATATATATATATATATATATATATATATATATAGTTTCATTGAACAAGCCTTTTTTTTATCTTTATTTAGTTTTTTTTTTTTTTTTTTTTTTTTTCTTGTAGACATACAAGCATCTTCTTTTCTGGATTTAATGAATGTAAAAACTGTTCATCAAAAGTTTTTTGATTCTGAGCACTTTTTCCAAAACCCTTAGCCTTTTTTAAGGATTCTTTTTTTTTGTTGTACTACTATAATAAATGGTTTGTCAACGCTGTTGTAGATGGTAGAAAATGGCCATGTTCATAATTAATGTTATCAAGGGTTGACTTCTGTTTTTTATAATAGGGGCTTCTGCCATTTTTAAACACTTTTTGCAATGGGAGGTTCATATCATTTCCTTATTCTTGCCATCATTAAGATGCATAGAATGTATTTTAATTTTACTTTTAAGGTTAAAAAAATTACATCAAAGAAACTTCAAATCTCTAAATTATATTTTCCCACCTATTGGATGCACCCAGATTTAAGTGTGGGATATTTAGGAAAAAAAAAAAAAGAAAAAGAACATTACAACTAAAAACATGCAAAAATAGTCTACATTTCCAGTAATCAAAGAAAACTACTTCACCAAAATATTAAGACTAAAACCAGAAACTCTTTACTTTCTAGTATTCAAAAAGCTATTAAGAGTAGACGTAGCAGAAACTGAATGTAACAAATTATCAGTATATCTGCTTTTAACTACTCCAGAATAAATCACCTTGGCTGGGGTCTTTTTCTGTCTAAAGTACTTGTTCAAACAAATCCAGCTTTTGAATAATGACAATTACCCCACACAGAGAATAGTCTTCAATTAAAAACTAACTTTTTCATGCCCATGAACAACATAAAACAAATGTAAACATGTTTTTATCCCCTTAGTTATTTGCACAATAGAGTTGCACATTGTAAAATAGTAGATTGTTTGGATAGAAATGTTGTATTGTTGGTGATGAAATAAATCAATGGTTAAAAAACAAAAACTTTAAAGATATCAAGAACATGATCATCATGAACAATTGTGAAAAAGAAAATCTGAGATTTTGAGTCAAAGAGAATTCTGATGATGCCAAATTAGATGCCCCCTACTTTTAAAAGTTTTGCTACTAAAAAAAATTAAGGAATCTTATTAAATGAGAATATTAAATTTTTAGTACCTGGACATTGCAAAACTTGAAATCAGTACAAAATGATCAGTCATAAATTGTATTTTAAGCCAACATAAAAATACATATTGTATTTTCATCTTGGTTTGTTTCAACCTCAAATTTTTATTGCTGGTAATATTTTTTTTTTCCAAAAATCTATTGCTGGTAATATTTTTTTCAAAAAATATATAGCTGTTTGTATTGCTGGTAATATACTTTTTTTTTTAAAGTATTACTGGTAATAATTTTTTTCCTTCAAAATTTTAATCCTGGTAATAATTTTTTTTTTTTTACAAAGTATTTCTGGTATTAAAACCTATTTTCACATTTTCATAGTATTTTGACCCCAGTTTGGGGGTTAACTATTTACCCATTACTGTGGACCTAACAGGTGCTACCACCCCGGGTCAGGATGGACCTGGGAACACCAGTAATTAAGAGGTGGTTGCACACTCCTCAAAACCTCCTAATCAGAAGCCTTGCTGTTGAATGTAGTTTATCATCTTACCCAAGACAGCATCTTTTCAGTGTATATTATCAATAAAATAATGAAAACTGATGTTCGTCATGGAAAAATGGGTACTATATTAATTGATTGATTCGTATTTTTACGGTTTATCAACCATTTTCTGGTTGTTTAAAGATAGAAAATATTTTTATATTGTAAGAATTTTTTTTAAGATAATAATGTTTTAATGATACATGTCTTAATTAAACCAGAGCTGGGAGGGAGAAGAGGGGGGATTCATACCTGTCACAAGGGTATTTGCATGCAAGTGAATATAACAAACCCAACAGGAATTGGAACTCGGCTCTCCAATTAACAATTCCAAACCATTATCCATTACACCACCTGCACATCCAAGCTTACAGCACCTTGCACACTTATACAGTCACAAAGGGCACTAAAATGTTAAGGGGATCTTGTAAAAAAAAAAAAAAAAAACATTTAATGGACTGATTTTCTGAATTTCTGAAATTTGAATTTGCATTGTAACACAAGAATGCCAAACTTTCTGGTGACCAATGTTTGAGA